GCTATTTTTAACTTGACCCAATTGACCGTTTTGTATTTTAGCTGGTGTTTTAGATATCGTAGGTGTTCCCTATTAACAGGGGTATTCTGCTGCCTTAGATCTTTTTTTATAAATAAAAAACAAACTGCGGTCGCAAACATTACAAAACAACGCATGTTGTAAAAGCCTTAATTTGAGAACTTAATGTTTCATATGCTTCTACATACATCATCAGAAGTATAAAACGGTTAGCTGCATTACAATAAATTCAAACGAGAAGACTAGTGCCTAATAAGGAAAGCAGTACCTAATAATGAAAGAAATGACAATGGATATAAATGAAAATAAACAGACTTAAAATCTGCTGAAAAAAACATGAATGGCTAGTAGAGAAGAAGTTTCTCACTGCCAACATTTTTAAGTGCTGGTTGCAAATCACAAATCAATAATGTATGTAGAAGCATACGAAACGTGAAGTTCTCAAATCAAGGTTTTTTACAACATGCGTTGTTTTGTAATGTTTGTGACTGCAGTTTGTTTGTTGTTTTACTCAAGCTGAAATGGCCGAAGAATAAGAGTTTCTACGATTAGATCTTTTTCGTTCAGTTGTAGTTGTTACCTTGTAATTGAGACCATGGTATATTCTTTCCCGCTTCAATGTTGTATGCTTTCCATACAGTGACACAGTCCTCCTGGTAGAGGAAGTTGTTAAAGATACTGATTCCCTCCCAGCAGCCTGTCATCTCCTGTTGTGGCTTCTCGAGGACGTCAGTGACTAAGGTTACACGAACACCATTAATCCCTCCATGAGACAGCATGGCTTCTTTAAAGTCGTGCGCTGTCAGCACATGATGGCCCTCGTTAATGTATTGTCACAGGTGGGTCTTGATGGTAGCGGCTTTCCTCTCGCAAAGACCTTTGCCTCCTTGAGGGTCACTAAAGTCGACCCTTTTGACATGGATTCCAGTTGCTGTCCCCATAAGACAGCATGCTGACAGCATTGCCACAATGTGGTAGCACCCAGCATTGTCTTTTCTAAGTGCCGCAAATTTTATCTCGGGATGTTCCACTTTCAGTGACCTCAGTGTGTGTTGGAGAACTCAGACAACAGCATCGGCATCTGGGCTGGACTCTTCTAAAATGTGGACAAAGGTCTGCTGCTGCAGTTGACTGGCCAACCTCCGAACTACTACGTTGACATGCCACGAGATACCCCTCTTGCCGAACCAGTCAGCTTGAATCTCCCGGTATCTTTGTGGTAGCCACTTCATAGCCCAGTCCTGGGTTATTAGTACCCATGACTCATCCAGACTTTTGAGAGTAGTGGTTCTTGCCTTGTCTTGTTGCAAAGACTGAAGAAGTTGATGCACTTTCCAAGACTCTATGGCCTGCACTGCATGGCAGAGAGTATACTGCATGTCATCCCGTTCATCTTCCATCAGTGGGGACTCAGCTACAGCATTTCCAATCTCCTTTAGAGCAGCCTTAAGCACCTCACATGAAAGGCACCTGTCTTCATGACTGTGGGCACAATCCAATCAAAAAGCTTGGTCTTTGGGGTTGCTTAGGGCGTAACTGCTGCACTGGTCGGGTGTGGTTGCACGACTTGAAACATGCACCTGCAGCAAGAGGGTTTGCCAGTGTATGTTATTAACAAATTACCTCATCGTCATGACGTCATGCAAAGATCAACGGAAAGCATAAACTTATAATAACGATACATACGAGAAAAAAAGATAAGGGTTAAACTCATGTACAGGTCTATTGTGGTAAATGACTGCACATATTTTTCTACGCCTAACTATCTCATCGCTCAAATTCTTCCTCAAAATACATACAAACAACTACACACTTTCAAAATATTTTTTCTAAAAGTTTGGACAGGGATTATAAGGCTATAATATCGCCCTCCTCCATACCTTATAATCGCCTTTGATGTACCTGTACTGCTTTGCTTCCTTCAGCACCTTCTGCAAGCGGCTTACCCATACTCTGTTGTCATTACTCAGCTTAAGTACCATTTCAATCAGTTTGTCGAGAGCCTTCCCACCATCTGCCTCTATGTAATCAAGCCCCTGAAGTGAGATTCGTACCATTGCAGCACAAAAGGACAAGACACGCAGTATGGTTGATCTGCTGAATGTCGTAAAGTTGACTTCCTTACAGTACTGAGTATACTGTGCCCCAATTCGTTCTGGTATCATTGTTCTTAACAGATTTGGCATTTCGAGAAGACTTCCATCTGCCAGGGAAAGTAGTCTTTGGTCAAAAGGCAGGTCTATTACTACGTGTGGACTGGTGATAAATTCTAGGAAGTGGTCCAGTTGAGCATAGTTTACACGCATACAAGGGTTTTTGGACAGGGGCACAGCTGAGCCTAGCCCGTATTTTTTTCTGTGTTCTCATGCAGTCCCAATATTCCGTGATACCAGGCAGGTATCGCTGGATAAGACTATATGGCACAACGTCGGCGATGACGGAGAGAACTTGCTGTCGCGTGTCCCAGCTGGATGCATTTTGGTATGCCTCTGCTAGCGACTTCAAATATTTGTCATCAGCAGGATGGGGTTCAGACAGTACACCCAAAGCACTCTCAACTTCACCAGACTCTTTCAATGCTCCCCACAGGCCACCAGCGTCATCTGGAATAATCACTTCCATGCTGCCGTGACTGCATCTCTTGCTTTATTGATGTATACATGCCTTGTTCTACCTAACAAGTTAGCCCAGGGTTTCCACTGTTGTGTTAAGGTAGACTTTCCACTGATAGCCAAGAATTCGTTAAGCTTCGTTTGGCGAAGACTGAGGTTTGAGCTGCTTCTGCTATCACCTGAAAGTTCACTGCTACTCGTTTCTGTTTGAGACAGGACATACAGACTTGTGTCGTTTGAGGTGATCATGATACTTTCCATCGCCTGACACAGCACATCAGTACTGCTACTTTTATCCGCGTTATCCTGTAAT